CGCTAAGTTGAATGGGAAATGCAGTGGAAGTTCTGACCCAGTGCCTGGGGACTGTCAGAGCCTGGATAGAGAGAAGCAAGATCATGCTCCACCCAAGCAAGTAGGAGTAGCTCTTGGTTCAGAAGCCAGCTGATTCTGGGATGATGTGGACGTTGGCTTTTATCGGGGTCACCATCTGTGGGTCCTCCTGGATTCAGGGCTCTGCTGGAGAAGCAGGTGGAGACAGTGGCCAGGAGGATCTTTGTCCAACTTTGTCTGGCATGTCAGTTGTAGCCTTGCCTTGAACCAGATGCTCTGAAGACAGCCACATCTTGTCACCTCATGGCTGGTTGGGGCTGTCCTTGGAGACATCCCAGAAACTCCAGGTGGTACAAAATGCAGCTGCTCGTGTGCTTACAAGACAGTTATGTGGTTCCTGGAGCATCACCCATTATCTGTTTGCTTCTGATAGTTATTATAGTGTCGTTCAAGGTGCTGGTTATCACCTGGAACATCTGACCTGGCTCATTATCTTCGAAGCCACTGACCTGGGTGAATTGTGAACACCTGCTGAAGGTGTCTTGCTGTCAGGAGGGGACCCATTCTGGGTGGCCGCTCCCTCCGTTGCTTGGAAAAGAGGCAGAAATGGCCCATATCTCTGATGACCTCCTGGAAGACCCGGCTTTTCTAGAAGGTCTTCCACGACTGAGAAGATCTGTGCTAGCCTTGCTTGTGAATATTTATGCTTGTGTGGATTTTTATTGTTAGTCTGTGTTATGTTTCGATTTTGTACCCTGCCTAAAGCCTCTGAAGTGAAGCAGTTTATAAATCAAATGAATAAACTAAACTAGCCCAGTCTGGATTCATACGACACGCTAAGCCAAGGAAGACGCTAGAATGTCTACTGAGCTGATGAAACGGGTTGAGGGAACGCAGCCATTGATTCCTTAAATACTCCCAGTGGCCTTGGGCTAGGTGGGCCTCCCTGTGGCAACGTGGCCCTGAGCCCTCCTCCACTTGCCACTCCTTGGAAGGGAATTGGTGAGCAGGAAGACCAGCAGTAACGTGAGCCACGGCTGGCTACGTGGCAAGGAATCGTATTGGCCAACAGCTGCGCCGTGACTGGGAGAAGTTGGTGCCAGGAGGTCACAACTCCGTGGATCTGTCATTGTGTCCTTGCCAGACGTGTGAGGGCCTGCATGGTAAGGCAGCCGTGCCCGATGGATAAGCCCCAAACATGCCTGGCACTCAGTCAAGAAGCCGAGTTGCAACCCAGATAGAGACACCCTGCCGGTGCTGTCGGACAGAATGTGGACCGTTGCCAAGACTTCTGATGCTCTTCAACTACCCAGCAGCCTGCAGCCCTGCTGTAACCTGGGGCAGGCCCATCTAAGAACTAGCCAGGCCCAATCCAGCTTAGCTTTCCAAGATCCGCCCAGGTCTGCCTATGTCCTACTCCGTGTTAATGGCTCTGGAATAATTGAACTATCCGGTTCTGTTCTCACCAGTATGAATGAAGGTCTAAGAAATGGGAATTCTGGACCCTAAAAATATAAGTGCCCGTGGATGACACCCCTCTCCGAAAAATGTTCTCTTCTTTTTCTTTTTTAAAAGTTCTCCACGAGGACACGATGTGGGTGGAGGGAAGGCCGGTTGGGTTTGCACAAGAAATTTAACCTAGTAGCAACGACCCCATTACAGGCTCACCTGAGTTTCTGTTTTATCTTGGTTTGTTTGTATGTGGGTGGATTTGAGAGGCTTAGCATGTTAAACTGATTCAGTATGTTGGTGGAACCTGGAAAATGGCTTCATTCAGTCACCAGGCTGAATGAAGCCAACGTGCCGTTTGATTCACAGAACACAAGGCAAACTGAAATCATTCTGCACACAGGTGTGCGTGCATGCACACCAAGCCGGAGAGCATGTGTAAGGACGGCCTCCCTGTCTTCTTGCCCTTCCATTCAGCCCAAAGGGGAGGCAGCAGGAGGAATGTCTCGTTTCCTTTCGGGAATTCCCGCGGGGATGCCAGGAGTGTTGCAACCGAAAACATCCAGAGGAAACTTCTTAAACAGTTGGCGGTCCTCTTGCTGCCATGCGGGAAGGAGACCGGGGGGAACGATGGTTCCCCACGGCTGTTTGGAGAAAAGATCTGCCCGAGGACGTGTTATGTCCAAAATTAAGGGAACCATTCGGCTCTGTAAGTCAGAGAGAGAGAGGAGGAGGGAGAACGTTTTAATCCTGATACGCGGAAGTTGTTCAGCGGCCGTAACTGTGGTATTTGTCGTTGGCTTTGCAATAGGCAGAGTTGTGTTTTCAGGCAGGTGTCTCTTGGCCAGGTGCCCGTTTGCTGGGCGTGAAAGAAACGGTGGCCAGGGAAGGGGCGAGAAGGAAACGACGTCCTGCCCAGGTGTAGGGGTGCCACCGAGAGGCCCGTCTCCCTCCCCGGTATTGTTGTCTTTCCCACCGAGGGCAGATTCCAAAGCAAGTTGTTTTCACCGCCGAAGCACATACCAGGTTTATGATGTGGCTCCTGGTGAGGAAATGCTTGGTCTGAAAAGAAAAGGCAGCGTCGGCTCTCGCACCCGGGTCTCCTTGTCCTCTCTCAGCGCGTTGCCAAACGAGACGAGACTTGACTCAAGGCCTGGGCCAGAGATCAGGTTTCAATTCTCTTTCGCCTTGGGCCGGGTCTGTAGAGGCGCGGGGAGGAGGAGGAGGAGGTAGAATTGGTTTGTCTGGGTTGAGGAAATGGGCGTGCATGGAGGGTGAAGCCTCCATCAGCAGAGGCAGTATACCTGGGTCTGAGTCGGGACCGGCTTACGTCTTCAGCGTCCCGAGACTGCTTGAACTGAAACAAATCGGGTTGGGGAGGAGGAATAAACCAGCAGAGGAAGCGAATGCTTCGACTTCCAGAAGTTTGCCGGGGGACTGATTTGCTAGGCGTAAGACAAGAGCTAGATGGCACTTTGGGAGCTGAAAACAGGAGGCGAGCTGACAGAACGGTTCAATTCACACAATGTGCCAAGTCAGTGTTTCTCCACCTCCGCAACTTTAAGATGGGTGGGCTTCAACTCCCAGAATTCCCCAGCCAGCATGGCTGGCTGGGG